TCTCTCTCTCTCTCTCTCTCTCTCTCTCTCTCTCTCTCTCTCTCTCTCTCTCTCTCTTTCTTAATTTCAACAGCTCATGACCTAACTCACAGTCAGTATTTTTTGACTGCTGTGGTACATAAAATAATCGGTGAAACCCAGGGCACATTCTTTTGAACATAGTGATCCCTGAGGCATTCCTCTCTAAAGAGGAACTGAAGGTCAATATCAGAGCCTTGCTGTTCCATAATCCACTGAATGCAATGAAATCTTTATCGATATGGTAAAACCTTTATTGTCCTCATTCCCTAAAGCAGCTTCACTTGTGCTCAGAAAATGATTTTATTTTTCTCATAAAGTTATAAATTACAGTATCTCTATGGGTATGGCTCTAGACAAATATTTGCACTGGGCGAAACCTACCTGACCAGTGCCACAGAATCTGATGACTTGGGATGCTAAGTAGCACATGTGTCACTAAAGCCTTCAATGTCTAGAAACTCCTTTCATTCGAGATGGATCTAGATCCAGGCATGCAATGATGGTAGGATTATGACCTCAAATGAAAAGTTCCTAAATTACCTAGACTAGTCAGAAAAGCATCAATTTAACAATTGTAGATCTATATGAGCACAGCAAAGGTTTTTATTTATATTTCATTTGTACTTTAGTCTAATCTTCATGTTTTATCTGATGAAAAGAAGTTTGAAATTATGTATCTTCAGTGTAGGTCTGGTTAAAATAATTTATGAAAAATCAGCAAAACCAAATATTAACTGAGGAAAGTAAGAAAGCAAATTATGAGTGACGATGCATCCTTAAGCATAGTAGTGCAAAGTATCATTCATTTGTATTTTTTTTACTCTTATTGTTTCTTTATTTTGTGTGTGTATGTGGGGGGGGGTGCACACATGCTACAGAGTATAAGCAGAGGTCAGAGGACAACTTGTAAGAATTTGTTCTCTCCTTCTTCCCCCATGTGGGCCTGCGGAGTCAAACTCAGATTGTTAAGGTTTGGTGGCAACTGCTTTTACCCACGGAGCCTTCTCACCAGCCCAATCACCAGCCCATCAATGTTGACAGTAATTGTCATTTTCTGCAAGTTGAGGTTACTTTCTTTTTAGTCTATATGAATAAAAAATTCCTCTCCTTTCCTGTGACTAAACCTGCATGGTAAACTGGACAGTTCTTACTGAGTTTTGTGCTTCTAGAAGTGAGGCAGAATATTTTACTTCCTGTCTGAAGCAGTTGCCAAAGGTGACTAAAGGGGCTCCAGATCCTACTTTTTAGAAAGTTAAAATGGAACACTGCCAAAAATATTTTCAAGAATGTGAAAAGTTTCAGTCCTATTGAAGACATTTCTGAGTCTAGAGGCTTGGTGTGACTTCCCCTGATTTAGGATCCCCTCATGGTCCCCAGATATCTAATGCAGTCTCAGCAAAGCTAATATATCCATGATTCCCATTGCCAAGCTAAAATGGTCTTGGATTTTTCAAAGGCAAAGGAATCAGTATAAATAAACATATTTATGTATATATTTTATTCTATTTGTCTTTTACATCATGCATCTTGATTCCATTCATGTTCCATCCTTTTATATCCACCCTCTGCCCCTGTACACCCCCACCCCAAATGAAACAAAATTTAAGAGAAAAAAATGAAAGAAAAAGGGAAAAATTTAAAATATCATCATGGAAGCTGTAGTATGACATAGTGAGTTACTCAGTAACCTCATTTGTCCATATATCTTTACTTGCCAGTCAGTGTTCACTGCAGAGTCATTGATCTGGTTCAAGGCCTATGGTGCCTACTACACCATAGATGCTGGATCCTCACTAGGACTCTTCTTGGATATCCTGTTGTATTGTGTTGTGGAGATCCTGCAGCTTTGGGTCT